CAGTGAACAGACCTGGAAAGAGAGTCAGCGCCGAAAAGGGAAAACACCGACTCGGTCCGGAGAAAACTACAACTAGAAACCAGACAAAGCGCGCGTTGATAAAGCAGAAAAAAATAAATAAACTGTTAACGGTGGATGAAACCTTGTTTTTTTACTCTCTTTCCGCACGTTTCAAAGTTTAAAGTTGAATGAAAGTTGGAAGTTCAGGACTTGTACGGTAAAAAATGACTAATTCTAAACATAGATTGATGGTAGTCGACTCAGGCACGTAGGGCCAGCTGTGGTACCACGGTTTGAAACGTGCGGAAAGAGAGTAAAAAAACAAGGTTTCATCTACCGTTAACAGTTTATTTGTTTTTTTCTGCTTTATCAACGCGCGTTTTGTCGGGTTTCTAGTTGAAGTTTTCTCCGGACCGAGTCGGTGTTTTCCCTTTTCGGCGCTGACTCTCTTTCCAGGTCTGTTCACTGTGCCCCTGACGAGAATGACAGACCTTCTGAGCAGACTAAAAATTAAAAAAAAAAATTTTTTTTGAAATTAACATCAGTCTATGTTCCTGTCTATATTAGTGAGCTCACTAGAACTTAAAACAGTGTAACATAGCTATTTATCTATTTAGTTCTCGTACCATAGCTAAATGAGTATTTACCACTTACTTAATGCTACACTTTCTTATTAAAAATAACTAACGTATTTGTGGCTACTTTCCCGCAGCTACATGTAGTTTACGCTCAATGAACTGATGTGTGGTCATTGAACTACTGGTGTGGTTATTGATCTGTTATGTACTTATTGAACTGCTGTGTGGTTATTGAACTAACAAAAACAAAAAAAGTAAGGTCAGACTAACCATGGCAACACAATAACCCTGAGCAAGGATTCTGACATCGATGTTGGCATTTGACAGAAAGATATGGGATCTCTAGATGGCCTAGATGTATCAATTGATGGAGTGGATCATTATTCAACTCTCTTGATATTTTCGCTGAAAGCATATCAATTTTGTTGAGCTTGTAACAGATAAATGAATAAACGCCTCCTATCCATTAAATGCCCCCGCTTGGACCCCTAAAATTAAATAGACTTCCCCGGCTTTATTAGGCCATTCGTGACGGTCATTGTTAAGGGTTGGTTAAAATGTGTGGAAAAGGAGAGGTAAAGCCATAACGGACGTTTCTTATACCTTATTTTAGGAAATTAACGCTCCATGAGATTAACGCGAATCGTTAAAATTCGCGTTAGTTTAAGTCGAGTTAATTTTGTTGAGCGTTAATTTCTGCCACGTTAATTAAGTGCAGCGTTAATTTCCGCGCTCTTAATTTCCGCGCTCTTAATTTCCAGTATTTTAACTCCAATTTTGGAACCTGTCCAGACATTCTTGACACCTAACTTGACATTAACTACAAGCTTTCTTTCTTTCCATTTACCCTTTATTTTTTATCTTTCACAAAAGCTTAGGCGAAGGTTTACAATATTTCGAGTTCATCTTCATCGTTGTCGCTCTCAAAAGTGATGTCAGCTCAGTTTTGTTTAGTTTTGAATTTTTTTTGCATCCAGTGTTGAAATAAATTTTTTCCAGTTGTCACCACCAACTTTGTCTTAATCGCGTTAATTTCCTTTATTATGAAACTCTACCTCCTGTTTCGCGTTAATTTTCTTTATTCGAAAGTCGCTTTCCACTAAATTCGCGTTAATTTAAGTCGCGTTAATTTCCAATACCTTAATTTCATTGAGCGTTAATTTCCTATAATATAAGGTATCCCTTAAATGGAGAGCTTGCTCGCAGGCAGTTGCAGTTTTCATTGTTGCGCGAGATGGTTGTATCGTCATTATGTCTCAGTCAATTCCAAGAGTACGCATACTCCTCAAAGCATTTGTCAAGTGCTGACATCTCCTTTGGCTCTCGACATCTGAGGAAGAGTGAACAAAATTGCTAAAATTCTCGTCTGTAGCCAAACCGTCAATTCCAATCAGTTTTACGAGATTTATCACCAATAAAAGGAAGAAATCGCTCCGTTTCTAGGTAAAAACAACCTTAGTGAAAAGTATCCTATTGTTTTAAAATGTTGAAAATGCTTCGCCCTGATTTTGTATAGTGTTGTTATAATGTTTGATATTGTGGTAAAAATGGGTAATCTCAACAAGGCAACGTCTTTGTGCAGCATTTTGTAATTTCGTGGGAGGTTTCCCAGAAACGTATAATAAACCTTAATTCCAAACCCATCATAAAAAAGTTCGAAAACAGCAACAATTTATAATTAAGAGGAAATTTTAGAACACAATAATAAGACAAATAATAACATCAATGAAAAGAAAACACAAAATGTTCTGGCCTTTTCCTTCGAAATAGCTGTAATGTAAAAGGAGGATGTTCTCAAGGACTGATGGCTGCTCCGGGCATGATACAAACACCCTGTAATTCTAACGATCATCTTTCCAAAGAAAAAAGCCTGTTTCCAATAAGTTTCCATAAGTGACTAGTGACTAGGCTAAACTTTGCTTAAGCTTTAGCGAAATTCGCCTTGCAACAATGACATAAACAACAGTCTTAACTCACCCCTCTTTTACCCTTCCTCTTTCTCACTGATCCTGAAACAGTTGAACTGTGAAGAACTCCGGAACGCCTTCTTCGCCGTCGAGTCCTCGTGATCTGAAAAATGTACATTTTCAGCAAGTTTGGTAAGGGAGTGTACTGATGTTAGTTAGTTACGTTGCTGGAGAACGTGTGGAGTTAACTGTACATAAGGAAAGTGTTGTTGCAGAGGAAGTAAAGGAAGTGGAACTGAGATCTCGTCGTGCGCAATTTATTTATGACAGAAATTATAATCGAATTGGGTTACAGCCACGCGGTCATGTACCTAGCAGACTTTCGGTGAAGAAGTTAAGACGTCTATTACTCAAAAAGAGAAAAGTAAGGGTATTTGTGTGGAAGGGTATCCGAAAAAATATCATTTCTTACCATTCCTCCGCATCCACAATTAATCCACAACCACGATACCGAAGTATGCGCTCCCATTGAGTCTTGTATTAAATAAAGTCAGTTATGTTCACCAGTGAGAAAAGAAACTTATGAAATCAAATAAAAAATACTTAACCGACTAGGAATGTAAATGGAAAAAGTTTCAGTTATACTACCGTGGTACTGAGAATTAAAATACATCTGTTCTTATTTTTGTAATAGTGGTAGTAGTACCTAAATTGTGTTGTATTCCATTAGTATTATATGTAGGTAGTGTCTTTTGTATATCTGCAGTAGTTCTTTATGAATAGGTATATTTTAAAGAGCTACACAACGAGCAAGAATGCTATTGACCGACAATATACGTAGCGGAAGCAGCTGTAGTGTCAACTATTACTAGTAGTATAGATGTGGTAATCTACATGTCGTGTAAGTAGTTCGTAATCAGTCATTCAGTAATAATTAAAAAAAATCTGTAGAGCGGAATTCTAAAAGAGCGCTTTATAAAGAGATATAGGGCGTTAATTTCAGGGATGACAGATTTCGCTCATTTAAACGATTATACCTTGCTAGCAATCTTTAAATTGTAAAATCGGCTCTATACATGACACACTACAGAGTTTGACTGATCATTTATTAATAAAGTCTCAGAGTCCTATCTTCTATTCTTTCCGCAAACTTGAACACAAAAGCAGGATTTCCCAATTCGGTGCAACTGTATTTTAAAGTATTGCCGTAAGGCGCGATATACCAAATAAAAAACAACCACCCTAAACTTCCATCATTCCACAATTTCTGTTTAAAGTTTTATCTAAATCACTGCCAAAACAGCCGAGATATAAGCGTTTTAAAAGATGTAGCACAGGCAAAATTTTGCCTCATGAATTTATTAATAGATCGCGGCCTTAAACAATTTAATTATCAAAAGCATATTAATTATTCTTTATGCAAGAAGTAAAATATCGTCACCAAATTTTACCGACAAGAGGTTTCCAGTGACGAAATTAGAGATACTTAAGATGTAATGATAGTTCCACTTAAGACGAGCGAATCTAGAAGCACACTCTTTAACAGACACATGGTAACAGTTACATAGTTTACAACAGCACAACCTTCCCAAACGTTCTTAACTTACCTCGCTTTCTTCCTCGCTCTCTGTTGTTGATTCTGAGCCAGAATCAGAAGGTCTCCGATAGGGACGCGGCAACGGGACGATCTGCAGGATGTAATAAAAACTAGTTGCATTTGGCTGGTAGAAGGTGACTTGATGTACCATTGAGTACACGCTATAGCTTTTGAAATTTTTATGAAACAAAAACCAGTAGCTAGTGGCATATACACTACGCTGCACACAACGAAAATAATTGCATAGCTTATTATCTCATGAAATTATAACTTTGGAAGCGTTGAAAATATGCCAACAACCTTTCGATATAGCCGGATTGTGCCTTAATTTTGAAAACGTTGAAGTAGTCTTCAAACTGACTATAGGAGTGCTCCCTTCAGGCTCTCTCAAGATAAACTAGTAAGAGCAAGCGAATTACGCGGGCGCACGAGAATCTTTCGACCCGTCTTTTCCTGTTTCACGAAAGAATGAATAAGTTATAGCCATTAAATGCAGCCCGTAAGATCCCACAGTATCACTCTGCTGAGTATTATTTATCTACAAGTCATTAACAGCATCGCACTTGTGTTTTCATTGTTTGATTACACAACGACGCACACTACACTATGTATCTTAATAGTCTGGCCATACGTGTCGGGACCTGGTCTTGTCCTGTGATGACAATAGATAAATAAATAAATAAATAAATAAATAAATAAAAACTGTATTGTGTCACTTCTGGTATTCGCTTGGTACAATCCCAGCCAATTAAAAACTAACTGACGACCCTTTGTATTCACCCATTTGTTATTTATCAGTAATAACTACAATTGCACTTCAGTTTACTATCATAAATTACGAGATGCAAACCCTATATATAATTCTAATTACGTAACTGCGTAATAATACCTCCCCGTTTCACCAGTTCCCAAAGAAAATCTTACTTTCTCAACATCTGAGCTTGCTTCACTCCACCTTGTATCTTCTACCTGACCTGAATCAACTGTTTGAAATGAAGTTTCGGTGATACTTGCTACTCCTAGTAAAGTAATGTCAAAATTGATCATTTAATACACGACGTCGGCCTCAAACAGATATCACTTCCAATTTGTCTCACGTATAATTAACAATACGGCTCTTTCTAGTCATTCTTTATATTCAGAGTTCTACTTTCTAAAGTGCTGTAGCTGTGGGAAGAAAGGCTGTTATGCACGCCACATAAGCTGTGCAGCTGAGTTAGATGAAACAGGAACAAGAACACGAGTGACGAGTACTTTGAGAAGATGCTCCCTCCACTGCAATCCTAAGGCTGCATGCAAACGGACGCAATAACTCCCAACATTGTTGCGCCAACAATGTTGGGAATTGGCAGTGGTGTACAAACGGATGCAACAACTCCCAACATTGTTGGGACCTACAGTGCATCGTGGGAAGGATACCACCCATAAGTCTTTGTAAACCATGCGTAATGAGCGTGGGTGGCCCAAACAATGTTGGAAGAGCTGTACAAATGGATCCAACATTGTTGCGCTACGCTTCGGCGATCACGGAACAAAAGAAATGTTGGGAGTTGTCGTCTGAAAAGTTTGACCGGTTTCAAACTTTGAGCAACAACACGCAACAACATCCAAGAACATACAACAGGGTGTGCAAACGGACGCGACATGTAACATCCAATAATGTTGGGAGTTGGTGGACAACAATGTTGCGTCCGTTTGCACGCAGCCTAATCCTTCCAGCTAGGGACGTGTACTGATTGTTGTTGACCTCCATTAGTTTCTGAATGCCCCCTTTATTTACTAGTAAAGTAGTGCACCGAGTGCCAAGGGCCTGGTAGAAAAAATCTTAGCACCTACGTTATTGTTATTGTAAACAGCCAAGGCGGTAACATTTAGCTGGGTTATTGCACTATCAAACCTGCGGACCGCGAGTAAAAAAAGTTCCAGCCAACAATTTCACCCACTTACTATCCATTTGTTTTTGGCACATCTGACAAGCCAAAATAGATGTTCCCCAAAACAGGCTCTATCGAGACTTTCCAACTAACCTGAGTTTTCCATGAACGCCTTCTTACAAATTAAGTAGTTTTCTCCTTCTATAGTTGTCTTCAACCTGACATTGTTCAACCCCAGCTTTCTCTTCAGTTCATCAGTCACCAGGAAACTCTCAACAACGTCATTAAGGTAACCAGAACAGTAACCATTCCACAGACTTGCAAGACTCTCCAGAGTGGGGCACTGCACAGTTATTATCAAAGATCCTGTTTTTACCATCATTACGGCCACTTCATAAGCCTTTTCGATATACTTAGTAAGGCGGGCTACACTACTATCAAATGGCAATGACGAAAGATCTTGGTGTCTTCGGTACTTCTGAACCAACTGCTCTAATTCTTTAGTTATCGTTCTTTGCTGTTCAACAGTTAAATCTTGGGAATTTGAAGAAACTATAACTTCGATAAAGGCAGTAGTAAGAACAGAGTCTGAAAATCAATAACGGGAAAGTTACACGTTTTTTAAGCTATAACAAAAGATTCAGTACGCACAATAAATTAACACCTATTTCTTTACCTACTTAAACAAATGTACGTTGTTAATATAATGTTTACTGTTATGTGAGGTTCCTTCCTCACGGAAGATGCACCTTCATGACTACCTATCTTGGACAGCATATACTTCTTTAAAAGAGATTCCGCCGGATGATCCTCACTTGAAGTACCTATATTTAAGAGACGGCTCTCGTCAAAGTACTCATCATTACTGAATGTCTACTCAGGAGCCTCAACCATAGCAAAGAGGTTTAAAAACCTCATCCAAGCCCCCACAAGGCAACTTGGTTAGGGCGTTATCACAGATTCACAATATTAGCTGCATACTTGAATGTCAATAGAAAGTTAACATATATAGCAATTCGATGAAAGAGTTGCAGAACTTGTTCGCACATATTTTTGAAAATATTTGCCACTAAGATACTTTTTACTGGTATAGTGGAGACAGGACTCAAACCACATTAGGAGATCGATCTTTTGCTTTTGCTGCACCCAAACTTTGGAATTTGTTTCTCTTGCGATCTGGAGAAGCCCCTCAGTTGTCATTTTTAAGAAGGCACTCAAGACATTTCATTCCAGAAAGCTCTTACGATGCATGTAATTTGATGTTTTTTTTTACTCGTTTTTAGTAGGTTTTATGCCGTTTGCACAGTTTAAGTACCCAAAGTAATTTATATGATTTAAGTGTTCGATATAACTGAAATTTTTATATATTAATTATTATTCACATATCATTTATTCAATTTTTTTTTATAACTGCTGATGAAAATGGCGACAATCAAGAGACTACTGATATCGGCACGAATAAGTTTTACTATTATCAATAATACACTTCTACAGTACGAGCGTATACGGTAACAAGTCCTGTAGGAAAAAGCACCTTTAAGTAATCTAACAATCATTTCCTCCCGTTAGATGTAGTAGTGTACTTGTGAGCAATAGACCTTGTCACGGTTTTCGACGCCATCTCTTGACGAGTAGGCAAATAACATTGTAAAACTTGTCTTTGTAAAACTGTTTAAAAAAAGTTGGCAAACGCGTGAGAAATGACAGTGTTTGTATGAGAATCTAATGTGGAATAATTTCCGTAGAACGGCTGTGAATATGAAATATGAATTGTAAACTAAAGCTTCACTCCTAAGGATTCTACTGAAAAAAAAATTGAGGGCGTTACGTGAGCAAGAAGACCTAGAACCACTTTTTAAAATTTTCTATACATTTGTCTGTAGGACCCTGATGAAGGCCGTTTAACACGGTCCAAAGTATGGGTGAGAGAGGAAAAACATATTGTTTTACGCTTCACTTGTGGTACTGTATGTATTGAGTTGTGAAGGGAATGTCTTCTAACAGATGCTTGTGGATGGTTTGTCTGTAGGACAAATATATGGAACATCTAAAGCAAGCTTCTGGAGAAATTTAAGCATAGGTACACTCCCAAAAATTTTAGGACAATCCTTTGCTTTGTAGCTTTAGTTTACAATTGATATTTTTTCAGAACAGCCGTTTTAAGGAACTTAATCGACATTGGATTCTCATACAAACACTGTAATTTCTCCCACGTTTGCCTACTCGTCAAGATGGCGTCGAAAACCGTGACAAGGTCTATAGCAAGAAAAACAACTCCTGTTTTTGCATACCTGGATTTCAAGAGAATTCTGACATGTTACGCTTACCGTTATTTTGAGACTGAGAGTCTGTATTCGTGGATATTTTAGTCGGATTTCCTGATGTAGCATCATCTTTCATTATACAGTCACTACTAAGGGTCGTTTCCGAAACAAGCTGCTTGTCGTCATAAGAGTTTGTTCTTTGGTTGTTGTCATTTTTTATAGAAGGCTCTGCAAAAATAAGCTTTGGTTCCAATAATAATCTCTTTGAAACTTAAGACTTAGTCAATTCTAGGTGTGCCCATTCTTTCCGGGGGCGGACATTTGTTGGGCATATATTAGGTTGTGTATTCCTGGGACAGAAGCTCAGCGGCCGCCGTTTTATTTCTCTACGCGTCCCTATTTTTTGCTCGCTCTTGCGCGCCTCCCACGCTTCTCCCACTTGGTTGAAAATAGACAGAAATGATTTCTACGCGTGCTGTCTACGAAGATACCTTCATGGCCCTCACTCATGCCTTTCCTCTGAGAAGCGTTGCACTTTGTTTCTAAGGAGCTCCGGGCCTTTAGAGAATCTTCCGTTAAACGAAAATGGAGAAAACATGCTATTGCGGGGATTATGTTTGTATTACTATTGTTTCCTAATAATGTGCCACTGAAGAATAATTGACATTGCTACCATGAGCCAGGCTGATCATCTGGTCAACTAACTCTTTTGTCTGTTTGGCCCAGTTGTATTTCCTGCCATAGGAATCAAGCAAAGTCACCGCTTCCTCAAGTCGACATTTCCTGTCCTTAGACCAGATATTCTGGAGGGCTGCGGTCCACACCGCGGGTTCCTCTGACTCAATTACAAATGTTTATGTTGAACCAAAAGCTGCACTGCGCAATGCTAGTTACAACTGACGAGCACAGGGAGACCATCTGACATTGCCTCAAGTCCAAAGCCCTCTGTTCTCGAAGGCATGACTACAAGATCCACTTCTTGAGATAAGCGCTTCAAACTTTCTCGGTCTTGAACAAATCTTCTTACTCTCAGTCGACTAGCAGGAACACCACATTCGATTAACTGATTTGCTATTTCTTCGTGTTTTCTTTCTGGTGCCCCAACAAACACGAGACGAGTATCTTGTAACGCAGCAATCGCTTTCCCAGCGATATCAAATCCCTTTAATTTGAAGTCTTCTACATCTCCACGACCAAATATCAGGACTCTATATTGTTGACTATTGCTTGAGCTGACTTGCTTTACAGGCTCAGACTCTTTAAATACTCCAGGTTGAGGTCAAAGACGTTACCATCTTTATTACAACAACAAAGATATGAGCGAAAGGCCTCGCTCAACTTGGGTCCTACTCCTACAACATGGTCAGCCATTTCACACACTTCTACTTCGGTCTTGTGCTTTTCTTAACCCTTTAAAATTGGGCTGGAATAGTTTTTAAACATCCCAAATTCCTCAGGGTCTGTGTGTACCACTTGAACCCATTTGAACGTTTTACGGTCTTTAATGAGCTTGTGCTTGTTTACCGAGTTTAACTCCATGACTTACGATAATGTCGATTTGCAAATCTTTCGGCGGAAAGCAAAGCCAATCCAGTTGTTCAAAGGCAGGCAAAGGCGTCGCCTGCACGATCTTTGCATTGTGTTCCAGGGTTATCTTTCTTTCCTTTTGACTACATTTGGGGAAAAAAGAAAGTGATTTCCACTTCAGGGAACTTGGCTAACTGAATGGCTAATGCTTTGTTTATGGTGGAAAGCCCCCATTACTTGATACCCATTCAGATGCCAAAATAGTGACTTTCACTTTGCGAGAACCATGCACTCGGTCATTAAGGACTTTTTAAAGTCTTCGATTGATATTGTTAGTCTCATGTCGTCTGTAAGTGAGTTCCAGAGCTTTGCAGCTTCGTACTTGATGGACTCGAGTCTATAGGTGGTTGTCCTTGGTTCGGGTAAGCATAGTATATTATTCCCTCTACTACTTACTTGGAGCTGCGAAGAGAGAACAGTTTCTTAAGACAATTAGGATACACAGAGACAAATAAGCTTTTAAACATTACAATAAGCATTTTGTGATTTCTTCAACTGTACAAAGATGTTGTCTTAGCCTTCTTTAGCAACTCGTCATAACTGGAATATACATCATTAAAATTAATATAAATCTCAAAATGCGTTTATTCAAAAGCTCTAGGTTATCTTTGGGTGAAGAAACAGACAATAAGTATTCCAAAAATCATTTAAGTTTGCTGTTTCCGATTTATTGAGAAAATACGCCTTGACTGCCTTTCGTCTAAGCAAATTACATTTATTCCTTTTTTCTTTGTTAAGGGCGTAATAAGCATCAGTGCGATCATGATTGAACTTTGTCCGCAGCTTGTTTCTATGCCGAAAGGATTTGCGCCATTGTTCATTCATGAACGATACTTGATTGCCTCTCACATGGAATTGCTTTAGAGGTGCGTGCCCATAATATCTAAATACAGCGATTCAAATGCAAATAATTTATCGTTTACATCATGGAAAAATTCCGTTACATTGAAAGGAACCTTTATGCAAATCTTGTAGGAAAGCATCGCCGTCAAACTTTAAATCTTCTCACGCAAATTTTTCGAGATCGAAATCTGGGTGCGGAGAGTTTTAAAATTGTGTATACGAGGGAGTGATCACTGATTGAGACATCAACCACGCCCGATGACAGTATTCTCTTCTTTTGTTTGTAAGAATGAGATCGACATTGTTGTTGGTTTTTCTGTCGTTCTAGTTGGTGATGTGATTAGGTTCTTTAGGTTATAAATGTCCAATAAATCACACAAATCCCGTCCATCCATGGTCCAAGGCCTGTTTGATTACATCACATCATAGCTGAAGTCAAACCCAAGAAGATACTGTCATTTGAAATCGTTGTTGCAGCTTCAAAAATAGCACTAAGTTCAAGTTTCCACTGGCTTTTGGGATATTAGGAGGTCTGTAGATGCCGACGATGGCAAACCAAGATTTATTTGTTTTGACTTTCAATAACATGGATCCGGTGCGAAAACTTGACATGTCTTTATTGAAACGTGTAATGACATGATGCAAGCAGATGTCATTCCTTATGAAGATCATCAGCCCACTGCCATGAGCATTTCTATTGACACGATACATGCTAAATCCTTCCACATTAAACTGACTATTGCTAAAGGTAGCATCTATTTTTGTCTCTGTCATGAGGAGTATGTCAAATCTTCCAGACATTAGCCAACTTCTAATATCATAGAACACAATTTAAAGCCAGCAATACTATTTGCCGTGAAAGGTTTGAACCCAGGAGTCATTTCAAAAGTAGGTTGAGTTTGATCCTCCGGGTGAACGTAGTCCTGAATAGGACTGTTGTTGTTGACAGTGACTGACGTTTCGACAACCATTGGCTATGAAGACTCGTAATCAGTAATTGGTGCGTTTCGATCCGTCTATTGTCACAGTTAAACAGTCGTCTATTGTTAGTCACATTGTCATTCTCTCGTAGTTAGTTTTGCTTGATCTCGTCAATAAGTCATTTGTACGGCGCTGGTAACTGTTGGCTACGATTCAGTGGCGTTTGTTCTAAGTTAGTAAACCAGCTTTCCAAAGTAACACTTTGATAGTAGTCTGTAGAATACGTTACACATGTCGCAGAGTCCCAGTCCCAGTCAATTTGATTTGATGATGCGAGCAGTCTAATTTGTTTGCGAGGAGAGGGCGGTTGTACACAGGCTAAAAGAGCTTCAAGCCATCTTTTGGAATGGAAACAGTTGTTTAGCTGTAGCTGGGCACATGCGTTCTCTCGACGACTAACTTCTTAAATGACTTTAACTTTTTTTTGCCTTCCTTGGTATTTTCCCGGGAAAATAGAATCACCCTTATATATCACAAGACTCGGGAAGAAACCATTTTTTTAAATAAAATTGGGGAGTTGACTGAGCAACAAAGTCATAGCGAGGGCTTCCCAACGAAAACCCTTCAGCACAAGACTAGAAAATCCTACTTTGCTTACATAAAAAGCTTGCAACTGGAAATGAAAAATCCAGAAAGTATCCATTCTCCCAACACTGAGGCCGTCATTGGAAATTAGAGGTGGGATAGCGATTTAAAGACAAAATTTTAGGCCAAAGAAAATAATATAAACCTAATATCTAGTGTAAAAAAAAACAAAACCCCTCTGATATTTTCTGAGACTTAATACAACAGATCTAGTTGAAAGCAACTGAAAAAGGACTACTATTTGCTGGGAATAAATTGACAAGTGCAGAGCAAGCCCTCACAATACGATTAATCATCAGGATCTGTGTACCAGGGGATCCATTTCGGTTTGAAGCCACAAAATCTGTTGGAACTGTTACCTCTAAAATGGTATACCTGTGCCACAGCAACCCCATAGTCCTCTTCACATGGATTTGAACACTTGCTATCCCTCTGGTTTTTTCTCAACTGGATGAAAATGTGACTTCCCTTTTGTAAAGGCTGGAATGACCAGCTTGGCTTGCTTTAAGCCAACACTCTCCGCGGAAACCGGTCGTTTTGATACGAACGCAAGCATAGAAATTGCACACAAATTTCGCTCACCACAAGCATGACAAGTATAGTATGTACGTGAACAAGGAAAACATTTCGAGTGAATATTCCTTGTTCTTTACGCCATGTTCGTGAAACTATTTACAACTCAACTGAATAAACTTGTATCGAAACGACTTTGTATCAACTCTGTCTGCGACGATTAAACCCTTATCCGCCATGATCATGTCTCATGGTTATCGTCTCGACTTACGGCCGAAATCCAGAGATTTCTGCTCTCTGTAGTGGTTTCTTCGAATTCCTCTCCTTGGTTCTTGACAAATGATGGAATACGAAAAAATCCTTTTGTGTCTTTTTCCTCACTTTTCCTCTAACAACCAACAACGATGCAAACAATTATATCTACTACCGCACTCTTACATCTCTTCGAGCTGGTTTTGATTACGTTTGAGGGACACCAACATGGCGGATAGCAACCGTTGTAAAGCGGCGGGTCACATGGGTTAAAACCAAGAATAGATGATTTACCGTAACATTACATTGTGTAAGCATCCAAGTTAGCACAGATTTCCCGGTTTACTTAGCTACGTGTAGCCAGCATAGAAGATGTGACACGTATAAAGAAAGTTGTTCAGTTCAGCTCAGTTCAGTGGGCAGTATGGTTTTTCCCGGCTACAAATTAAAAGGTAAACACTTTTAAGTGGGCCTCTCGCCCCACCCTTTGCTCATAACAGAGACCAGAAGCAAAAGAAAGCAAATAATGTTTTCCCATACCTGGAATATGCTTACAGCTACTTTTAGTTTGACTTCCTGCTGCAAAATGAGCTCTCTTTTCATTTCTGGGCTTGTTGTCATTTTCGGAATACCCTGTTGGTTGGTTATAAAAATACTTTCATTGTGAGGGAGAGTTAATAGAGTTGTTTTAAGGAATCCTATTAACTACAAAAGATTCACTAGATGTTCTGGAATAGCAGGTGCTTTTGGATTGCATATCATTGCCCTGTCCTTTGGACTGCCTAATTTGGATTACACTTCAGCCACACTTTTCATGATAGAACATTCACGTACATGTTACAGGTCAAATTTGATCCCAGGTTAATTTTGATCTAACCTACGTTGATTCTCAGTTTCCTTTGTCCTCTAGCTCTAGTAGACAAAGGAAATCAAGAATCAAACTAGGTTAAAAATATTTAACCTGGGAACTAATTTGACCCGTAACATACATAACTTTTTAAACTTACAGTTTATGGCCCTATGAAATACTAAGTTACATCAACACTACGAAAATACCAAATTACCAAAATACAAAAACACTAGGTTTATTAATAAGTGTTGAGACAAGAAAACAATGAACATCTGAAATTTATTGTGCCTAAGTGGCCAATCGCAATAATGTTCGGAACACACAGGCAAAAGTCAAACTAACATGTACAAAATAGTATAAATCATATTCATTGTTTTATGCGTGAGTTTCAAAGCAACAACTCTTACCATAGACCATTTTCCACATTCTCTCCACAAGGGCTTTGCATTGTTCCTTCCAACTGTACATTTTTCCGTAACTTGATTTTAATGTTTTAACCTCTTCGAGTCGCATTCGATGCCTAACACGAACACCTTCAATTGTTTTTGCCCATTTTGCAGGATCATCTGAATAAACGATGCATGTATGACCATGAGGAACATTCTCTAATGCTTTGGCAATTCCCGACTTACCAGTAACAAGAATCGGTAGGCCTGCAGACAAGGCCTCGAGTGCGACAAGACCAAATCCCTCTGATTTTGATTGCATAATGGCAAGGTCAGCTTCACACAGCAAATCTTTCAGTTTCTCTCTGCTTTGTATAAATTTTCTAACAGTTAACTGCGCTTCGGCAGTACCACGTTGAAGAAGTTTTCCTCTGACTTCTTCTTGTTTTCCTCCAGGTGCTCCCACAAAGATTAGATGATAAGGTTTGTTTTTTAGCCGTCGATCAGTAAATGCCTTGGCAGCAATGTTGTATCCTTTGAGTTCAAAGTCCTCATCATCCCCACGACCAAATAACAACACTTTGAATTCGCCATCCTCATTAGGATCTTGTTTTGCTACTAAATCCCCAAACTCCCTTTGAAAAAGACCTGGAGTAATGGACAAAACGTCTTGATCTGTCTTACATCGCTGTAAATATGAAATGTATGCTTCTTTCAGTCTGGGCCCCACGGGTACAACAAGATCAGCAAGTTTGCAAAGTTCAACTTCTGATTCGTGTTTTG